AACTGCAAGTATTCAAAGTCATCCTGGCTCCCTTGCAAGTTCTGAAAAATATAAAGGTAGATAACTTTGGAGAAGGACTCTCAAAGTTTTTGAATCTGCAGTCACTTGCCATTTTTTATATTGGCTGAGACTGATAGAGTTGAGGTCAATATATCTGGAGGGCACTAAGTGCTTATTCCACAATAATCTTGAGTCTTTATTTCTAAGATAAATCATTTAGCCATTTTGTCTCTATAACAGCACACATATAATTTTCCTTCTGTGGCATTGTTCATACCAAGATGATGTCTACTGAAGCACATGCCTGCTTTAAATGTCCACCTTTCTTATAATTATTCTGCTAAGTATCCAGGATTTGAATTTTCCTGTGTTTCAGATGAAGAATTCTGTAGATATAGGCCCATTCTTTCAGATATGGCAAGGCATCACTATTATGTTACATCCCTTGATAGTGCACTCTTTAAGATTCCTGCCTATCACATATTATCACAGTGCCTATAGACCAGTGGTGGCAAACCTATGGCACGCGTGCCCGAGGCCGCACTTGGAGCCCTCTTTATGGGCACATGTGCCATTGCCCCAGCCTTGCCTCCCCCCGTGACCCCCACCTCACCAGCAGCCCCTTGGAGAATCACCCCCGAGCGTGGCCCATGTGGAGCAGTGCAGCCAAGAACATGGCAGCCAGGCAGCATAGCCAAGAATCTGGCCTCATGCCCCATTGTGCACAGTTGATGCTGTGGGACGTGGACAGAGGGCGTGGCTGCCATGGTGCTGCTGGGCTGCCTGGGCGATCTGCAGTGGGCCCTGGAGGCGGTGAGTGGCCCTGTGAGCAGGCGAGGTGGGCGTGGGACAGGGGGGGAGTGGGGGCGGGGCCAGTTTTTGGGCACTCGGTCTCTAAAAGGTTCACCATCATTGCTATAGACCATTCCAGCAATTTCTGTCATATACTGAGAACTGCACAAGAAATTTGGCTTGGCAAGTCAAAATACCCTATTTCATTGTACTGAAATTGATTAAGTTAACTACTGAAACGTATTTTGAGATTACTTTAGTCAAGTGCTATTCTTCATTACAATTATAAATATTTATTCTAGGCTGGTTGAATGTACTATAGACTTAGGTGTAACTTATTTTATTTATACATTTTCCTTTTGATGTTTTTAAATTGCAGTTTACAGTATGAGAAGTTTATCACAACAAAGATAAAAATTCTGTTGAGTTCAGGTCAGCTCCTGGCAACTACATAAATAGATCTACTCAAGCTTTTCTGGAAGATTTACAACATGGAAGTGATTTGCCATTGCCTTCTTCTGAGGTGTTTTTTTCTTTCAACTTGCTAATTTAGTCTACAGCCAGAGGAATTCCTAGTTGTATCCCATCCAAGTACAATATTAAAAACATCTTTTGCCTTCTGACGACAACATCTGATGGGGACTCAGGATAAATTGCCAAACTTCTTGCTTCAACCTCCATTCCACACCTGCAACATCCACAACCCAAATCTGTACCAACTCTAGCATAAAAGTGTTTTTAAATATATATAAAAATGTAAAGGACAAGAAGTGGGTTCACTGAACAGGATTACTACCTTTATCCTTTATCCTCCTTTTCATTAAGAATTAGTTTGTTGGTAATGTTTAAAAGGGAGAATGAAGCTGCAACTGATGAAAACTTATCCTTTTAAATAAAGTCTGCTAGTTGGAAAAGGTGCTAACAGACTCTTGATTTTTTTAAAAAGGATTGTACACCATTGCCTTAAATCTTAATCACCAGAAATATTGCTTCTGTTTTAACCCCTTACTGTTGTAAAACTCCTCTTGTAACATTTATGATGCTACCCTTCCCAACACTAAGCACTCCTCATGAATTAATTTTTCCTTCATATCAAAATTAAGCTCACCTGGTTACCATGTTGATGAGCAGTGATTGTTCGCAAACAGTTCTGGCATCGGTTCTTGGCAAACATATTGGCCTCAAATTTCTCACAGAGAATATAATCAGCTGGTTCGGACATAGTCTATGCAAGGAAGGAAAGATGCCTTAGGCAAGTAGTTTGGTGGAAAGATGGAGACAGCAGGGAGGTAGAACAGCTGTGAACGGATCAGAAGACAAGACACAACAATACCCCTTGTTTCCTCCAAACTTATCAAAGAGAAAACATTTTGTACAGCCTGGCATCTACTGGCAATTGTAAGATAGCTCTTTCATCACCTGGAAAAGAATTTTCAGAAGGGAATATCAAAGCTAGAGAGATGCCTACAGTTACATGGGAATCAAACACTCACCCACACAAGCATATCTTGTTTAGGTAGACTTGCTATGTAAATTTTCTCACTTGTACCAGCAGAGAATCATCTTATTAAGGTTTTTTTCAACCTGCTGTCTCCTAGATACAGTACAACTGCAGTTTCTCAAAAAAAACATTTTTTTTTAACTTGCTGGGATCCTCCAGCAAGGGTTATTCTGTAGATAACTGTGGTTTACAAAGGGAATACATTTTCATATTTCTTACCTGGATGCACATATTTTAGCAAAAGCTCTTCTAATGTTAAGAAGCTATCTTTTGCCATTGATGCTAGTATGATAAAAGGCTGAAGAAGTATTGTATGCCTAAATATCTCCTGTTCCATCATCCCAGCTGAGAGACATTGCTTCTAACTTTCAGGTACACATAAGTGTGTTGCATGCCAAAACACTTGTACTTATCTTGATGCTTCAACATTATATAATGTTTTCAGATGCCCATGTTTACCACATGCATTTCTCTGTGAAGTGTTTGACAAGATTCTACTTTCTAATAGATAGTGGAAATGGTGTGGGTCAACATGAAGCTTAAGACTTTGGAAAAGGAAAATGAGAGCAAATAATCACGTTCTAATTTTAACAAGAGAGCAATCACTGCGCAATTCCATCAGTGTAAGAACCAGCTTAATGACAGTGGGTACTTTTCTGTATTTTTAATTATTTGTGATCATGAGGATATAAATGTAAGTCAAATGATTTTGACTGAACTAATTAAACACAACTGCCCTTGCCATTTTATATTTCAAACTTAACATTGGTTTTATATCCTTAATTTCTCATCTCAGTTTCTTCTATGTTTTTTATGTATTCTATTTGTGTGATTAATCTATGCTTTTTAGTGCCAGTTTGTGTAGTGGTTAAGGCATTTGGTTAGAAACCAGGAGATGCGTTAGACACAAAACCAGCTTGGAAGGAGGTAATGGCAAACCACTTCTGAAAAACCTTGCCAAACAAACTGCATTGATTTGTCCAGTCTCACAGAATCAGACATAATTGAAAAGGAAAAAAAAACTATCAGGGTACAACATTCCCCCAGAAAAGCAATGGCTATAACTCATGCTACCGTGCAGTTATATCAACCGATTCTTAGATAACTAAAAAACACACTCCACAGCATAAGCTCTACACAAGCATCTTTGTATAGTTTCTCTTCCTGTCAGACAAAATGTAGCTCCTGCTCATTCATTAGAAACCTGATTTAAGAATTTAGCACAACTTAGGAGTCAACGGTAATTTTTAGAAAAAAAATTAGAAATGATTTTTACAATGCATATCATAGAAAGACTCAAATTTCATAATCCATGTCTGCTGCACATCTTTCTTTTTATATGCTTCCTTACGTGATTTCCCCCCCCCCTTTTCTTCCACTGTTTTAAATTATCATGCAATACATTTAGAAACACATAAAAATCAAGCACAGTCACTTGAAACTATTCTGGAACTTACTAATAGAGGAAAATTGTATTGTACCTGCAAGAAATTCACAAGCTCTAAATAATTCACTTATATATCAATAATATATAATATCAATAATATAATAAAAATATCAACAATTATCAACAATTGGAAAATGTAAATTTTCTACAGAAAATTTAAATACCATCTTATTAAGAATTGGATAGTTTTTAATACTAATCTATAAGTAATTTGTGACTAGAAAATAGCAAGCTCATAAAGTATCACTACATAGTATAGAGGAAAAAAACGCACCTTGAGAAGGCAACTCCTGCTACGCACGCCTATGCTTAGTTACAACTAGAACTCTTCCACCACCGACCTTTTTTTATGAATACAAACTTTCCTCCGAGGAAGTGGATCAAGACTCCACCCACTAATCTCCTTTCCATTGGCTGCACGGACCACACTCATTTGAATGTACTATCTCAATTGATTGTCTCAGTGGGGTGGGCCGATCAGCAACAAATGAAATTTCTGGCGATATTGGAAGTTTTTGAGTTGGAACTTTTTCGGCTACGGTGTTTTTGCAATTAAATAGACGTCTCCTCTCCCCCAATATTTTATTACAACCCGCGTTGCAGAGTGGTTGGGTGTGTGACTGATTTCTCCCCTTCATGTTTTCTGTCAGCGTTAGCACGCTTGCTTTCGTGCAAACCATTATTTTCTTTAATGCTTTCGGTCTTTTCACCGCTATAAGGAGATAAAGTGCGAAATAGCGTACTTAAGCAATGGCACCCGTTTTGACACCGCATCGCATGAAGGGTATTTTCTTGATTTTTGCCGTGGTTATAGCATCTTTGGAATCTCTCTTTTCCATGACAGTATGTGCCAACTTTTGCCGGACCCTGCTCTAGGTCAACTCTACCACAAAAGTGTATTTTTGACAAGGATGCTGTTGCTACCGATCCAGCATTGTAGCCTTTTAGGCACACAATACTCTTTATTGTAGGCATATGCGCACTTAGATTTTGTTCCACAAAATGTCCTCTCAAAACAACCTGGGTGGTGTGTAATATAGAAATCATAAATATAAAGAGCCATCTCAACTAACCTCAACCTTTCCAATGAAAAACCTGACCAAGCCCCTCAGTATAAACTTCAAATATGATGTATCTCACAGAGTGATTCTTATGATGAAAAATGATAGGAGGAAGCACTATGTGGGCCATGAGTTCCAGAACAAATGAGACCATCTTCATTGAATCAGGATATAAATCAATCCCCAATACATTGCTAAATTGATTGATAAGGTAGATTTTATTGCAATTATCTCAATATTTATAAGTCTTTTTTTTCATTTCTCACATACAATTTAGCATTATTATAATTTAGCAACATCTTCCTTTTCTCTCAGTCTATCTCTCCCTTGAAAACCTTTCTTAAGTATCTCTCGTTGGATCTTCATTAATCAGGATTATGTTTCTTTTCTTTCTGCACAAGGGGAATTTTGATTAAAACAAAGCTTAAGCATCTCTTTCTAGACCACCCAAGCTTACTCTTCTGCCTATTAGTAGGAAAAACTAATCTGTTGCACATTTAAGTACATTTACAGTAATTATGGATGGCCCCCAGATGTAGCAAGCCAAATGAAGATAAACCCTGCCATTGTAGGCTGTAGTAGCAGAGAAAAAAATACCTAGTCATAAAAACATTACAAGCAATTCCACCATTAAGTATTTGCTCATACTACAGACAAAGCCAAAATCAAACCAGCCACATTAGAACTTAATCTCATCTAAGAATACCAACCATTGTAGCAGCCATCTCCAGTCTGGCATCTTCCTTCATACATCTTGGTCATACTGGCTGAAAATTCTAAAGCCAGAATCCAAACACATCTGGATGGCATCAGGATAGAGAATGGTCTATATATTCATTTAATGGGGTGGGGGATCTTCAAAGGCGGCAGGGAATAAATGCAAAAATTCTATGTCAAGGTACATATGCTCTCTGGAAATTAGGATCAAAGGCAACCACCCATTCAATGCTGTCCACTGGAAAACAGTGAGAATATTAATAATAAACTTCATGTCTTCGTTACTGAACATCTGATGGAATAATACAAGATGCTGAAATTGGTCTGATCCAGCAGAGCTCTCTAAATCCCTCCTCCCGCTTGTCTGTTTCTCCTTCCTGCAATCCCTGTTATAGAAGTGGGGCTGAGCTATCTGGCAGTTGTTTGTACTTCAGAGCAAAGTTAGCAACCTGGTCTCCAAATGTTTGGACTAACTCCCATTAACCATACTTGCTAGAGACAGTGGGTTGCCTGTATGGTTTAAAATGTTGAGGGAATAGTTCCAAGATGATATTCCTGCTAACAATTCATTTCTGATGCTTGTTTCTACTATGTTTAATCCTAGAGTATTTTGCATGACCAAAGTCCACTTAGACATAGCAGTTAATCATTTTATATTAAGTATCCAATATAAGTGAGGCGCCACCATGTTCCTGGTGATGAACTGCATGATTCAATTCTCTGTTCCAACATGATATTGGAGGGTGACACACTCACTGTAGGGTTCACCACCAACTCCAATGGTCAGGGGAAGCAGATTGCTAGCATAAAATGGGCAGAGGTTGCCTTAGTGATTTTCCAAGATTTACAAAAAGATAGCCATCATACTATTAACCAAATCCACTAACAGGACCTCACAAGGCCTCCCCACATGATTGTAATGCAAATTTGGACAGTGTTGAAGGAGGTATTCTTTTAAGTACTTGGATCTTTACAAATTAATCTCAGCACCTGAAATACAGTCCAGTAATCACAACCAGTGTGACACTTTCAGGACTAGCGTGATATGGACTCTATATCCTCCTCTCTTAATCATTAGACAGTGGTTCTCAACCTGTGGGTCGGGACCCCATTTGGGGTCGAACGACCATTTTCATGGGGGTCGCCAAACCATGCTGTCCACCATTTTGTTCCCTTTTCCCTAGCTGTCCTACTCCCTCTTATTGGTGGCCACACCCACTTGGGGGTCACCACAACATGGGGAACTGTATTATGGGGTCACGGCATTAGAAAGGTTGAGAACCACTGCATTAGGAGATGTAGTCTGCACCAGTTACAGCTTCGGGGCTGACTTCAAGATAGCTTTATGAAGAATTCATTGCAGCAATCCAAATGAAAGGTTCCTTGTGCGTGGAGCATTGACATTAGGCTATGCCAGTCTGTGTAGGATAGAAATTGGCACATTTGCCAAAGCTGGATTTGGATATGCAAGTGTCTTCTTTAAAAGATTGTATCATCCCATTTATTGAGTGAGGGCTTTCCAATAGCTGAGAAATCAGAAAACATACCCTCCTCCCTCACCTACCCCCTCACCCAAAGAGGAAACCACCCATGAACCTAGTGTTTCTGTCATTTACCCTTCAAAGAAAAGGAGCAAAAATACTTTATCCAGCAAGTGCTGCCTTTCAAAGTCCTCACATGACTGAGGCCACAAGACACATATACAGCTTGACCTCTAGGTCTCACCTCTCCCTCTTTCCCTTCGTTTTCACCATCATAATGCATTATTTCTCTGTTGTTCTGGGCTCTGTTACCAATTATAAGTAGATCAGAAATATTTTGGCTTGGTGTGATTATTGCCAGGATACAAGCAACAGCATCTGTATTGGCTTTCTCCCCAGTTTTCTAGGCTGCTGTTAGAACATAATACAGAAAATCCTCTTCCTGCCTCCTCTCCTTTTTGCTGGATGGGCAAAAAAGTACATCCAATAAATTTTCTTGATCTGGAAATCTAATTCAGGAATTAAAAATGTTGTTGATAGAAGCCCTAACATTTAAATGTACTATAATTAAATGATGCTCAGACACAGAGCCAACCCTTTGTGAGAGGGACTTTTCAGAACGAAAAATAAAATGAAGAGTTATGGATCCACCTAAAAAGCATTTGGATCCTGGTCATTTAAAAAAAATCTCTGACAGCTAATAGATCAAGTATGGGGCTTTTAAGTGGAGATACAGATTCATTCCCACTGTTTCCATATATTCATTTCCTGTGAGCACTAACAAGTTATTCTGGGAATGGTGGCAGCTTCTATGTTTTGCCACGAGAGCAAAAAATTTTCAAAAAGTTAACAGCTACTTTTATCTTCAATGCTTGTTTATGAGTAGTGGTGTAATTGTTTGAAAATGTCACAAGAATTTATGACAAACATGTTTTCTCATCAAGAGATGAGAATTAACATGAATAATAGTAAAAAAAATGTGCAAGAAGAAAATATTGCTATTATCTGTGCCAGCCTTACCCAACTTGATACTTGACAGATGTGTTGCACAATATTTGGGTGTTTGTCCCAACAAGTTGAGAACACCTGGTTGTCCATGGCTATTCTTTTATACCTGTTTCTATTTCTGAATCCAATACATGAAATGATATTGTATGGAGATAACAACCAGAATACAATTATAAATGCAGCCTTCCCCAATCTTGGGAAACATGATATTAATCAGGGATCTAATTTATCTCTGGAAAAAAAAGTCTTTGTCCACTGAAATAAGGGAAGGTAATGAGAGAGGTCCTTCCCAGCAGGAGACCTACACAAACCAAGATTAGGCTTGCTTGTACAGGCTCAACATTTCTTAGTTCCTGGAATACCAAATATCACCTCTCTTCTGCAATCCTGAGCAGAAGACTGTGTTCTCCAAGCCAATTAGCAGTTTAACAGTCCAAGTCAGCCTTTCAGTCTTGGACATGTCTCCTTTTGCCTGTCATTTTCCGGCGCTGGGACTTGCTTGTTCGTCCTGTTCTTATCTTTTGGCCTCTGTTCTTTACTCCTTGTTTGTGGTTGATCTGTTTTCTTTTCCCCTTTTTCTGACTACGGGAATGCAGAGAAGCAGTGAGGGAAGAAATTCTGTTGACAGGAGAAGAAAATAATGATTGTTTCTTAGTTTTAAAAAATACAAGCTAGCTTTTAGTTCTCAGGTTTATTCACCCTTACCTATATTCCTTGTTTTCTCCTTGTGATGCGTGTCTTTCTCCTCTATTGAGGATATTCATTATACAACTTGATTGGTAACACTAATGAGTTCTGGGTCTCAAGCTGCCTAGACGTGAGACTTAATGTTATCAAGGGTGTTGAGGCACCAGGAAAGATCCATAAGACCTTCTTGTAATAACTGGTGATCTAGGCAACATGGAACACCTGATAGGACTATGCCACTGGTTTTCTCCATTGCACTAAGCTTCATCCAAAGGATGATATACTGGACTTCAATTCCTCAAAGATCTCATTGCATGGGGGAAAACTCCCTATACACTATTGTGGCTGGTTTGGAGCCTTATATGCTATGTCAACATAGCTGCTATGGTTTGCAAACTACCAGTAGTCCTTGAGTTACAATCACAATTGGAACTGGAATTTCTGTTGTAAGTTGAGGTTACAAGTCAAATTGGATCTGATTTTACAACAATTTTTAAGCAGTTGTTAAACAAATCACCACAGTTGTTAAGCAAATCCAGCTTTCTCAATGGGCATTTTTTTGCTGGAAATTAGCAAAAAAAGGTTGCAAATCATGATTAATGTGCCACAGGATGCTGCAACTGGTCATAAATATGAACTGACTGCCAAGCTCCTAAACTGTGATAACACGACTCTGAAGATGGTGCTATGGCCATATGCGCAAGTATAGGTTGTGACTTTTTCTGAAGCCATTGGAGCTTTGAACAGACATAAAATGAAATAGTCATTAGTCAAGAGCATTATAGTGGTTTATTCAAGAAATCATGATTATAAACACAGCTCAGAGCTATGTATGTCCAGCCAGCTTTAGGATCTTTTAATATTTAAAGACAATTCTGAGCTCTAAAGATGGACAGTAAACAGATTAGAAAAAAAAATAGTCTCCTTGGAATAATTCTGACTTGAATGTTCCTCTTATTTATAAAATTGCCAGTCTGTAAGGACCCACCCCACTTTGCATCTTAAGAAGACAGAACTCTTGGAATAGCTCTTCCAACAGGAATCCTTTATTAAGAGAAAATGGTTGCAGGCATGCTAGACAGGACTTGGGGTTCAAGCTCTCCCATTCAAGGTTTTAAGGGGTTCCCCAGTAGTCCCACCCAATCAACCCCCCTTCCAGTGATAGTTTCAAGTATCACAATTCCATCCCCTTTCTTCTTCCGTCTGGATGGAGACTTCAGATAACTACATGAAAGGCAATTACTCTTCTTTGATATGTTAAAGCTTAGAGGCCACAATAAACACACATTCAGTCCTTTGAAGTGTGCTGAAGGAAGTGAGGGCCATAAAGCCCCTTTGCTCTCCCCCTTTTCTCCCTCTTATGGCAGAATCCAGAGAAGGCAGAATTGGGAGTTTCTATGTTTGATAATTAAAGATGAAATATAATTGGATTCTGACATCCGGCCCCTCTTAACAATAAGAGAGATCCACCTGAAAGAAAACACAAGTAAAAAATTTAGTTAGGCTTGTTAGGATACTCTGTGTGAAACTTCTTCAATAGCTTCGGGGCTCTGACGTGACGTTTATGGACCCACTCATTTTGTGAGGCAGGGAGGTGTTTCCAGGCAACTAGGTACTGAGTTGTTCCACGATATCTCCTAGAGTCAAGGATCTCTTTTATTTCGAAGTGTTGTTCCCCCTCCACCATGATTGGAGGTGGTGGGGGGGGGATTTTTGGCCGTAGAGGTGACTGATGCTCTCTTTTCAGCAAGCTGCAATGAAAAATTGGGTGTATTTGCCTGAGGTTTTTGGGTAATTCTAATTCTACTGTTACTGGATTTATGATCCTTTTAATTGGAAAAGGTCCTATATATTTTGGTCCAAGTTTTTTACAGGGCTGTAGGGACTTTAGGTATTTTGTAGATAAGTACACCATTTCTCCTATAATGAATGGTGTAGGCTCAACCCTTTTTTTATCGGCTTGTGCTTTGTATGCCCGCCTAGCTTCATCTAGTGATTTTCTGACTATTGGCCAGGTGTTTTGTAGGCTTTCCATCCATTCTTTCAGTGAAGGGATCGTTGGTTCTTTTGGGGTTAACTCTGGCATAGGGTTGAAACTTTGGCCGTTGGCTATTTGAAAAGGAGTGTAGCCTGTGCTGGAGTGGACTGCATTATTGTAGGCAACTTCTGCAAAAGGAAGTAAGTCCGTCCAATCACTCTGTTGGAAATTTAAAAAACATCTCAAATATTGCTCAAGTACCGACTGGCAGCGTTCCGCTTGTCCATCTGTCTGAGGGTGATGGCTAGATGTCAGTCCCTGAGTGGTCCCTAAGAGGGATAAAAATTCCTTCCAAAATGTAGACGTAAATTGCACTCCCCTATCAGAGATGATGCGTTGGGGTGCCCCGTGCAATCTGTAAATGTGCTGGATAAAAAGTTTTGCTAAGGCCTTTGCAGTGGGAATTTTTTGGCAAGGGATAAAGTGCACCTGTTTGGAAAATAGGTCCGTGACTGTCCAGATAACAGTATTCCCATTGCTTTCAGGCAATTCCACTATAAAATCCATGGCTATTTCCCTCCAGGGGGCTGAGGGACTTGCCACTGGTTGTAACAGCCCTGGCGATTTCCCTTGCAACCTCTTTGCTGATGCACAGGTTGGGCAGCTGGCAACATAACTTTCTATGTCCTTTTTTATTGATGGCCACCAAAATTGCCGTTTAATTAAGTGTAAAGTTTTTACAAATCCAAAATGCCCTGCTGATTTTGTGTCATGGCAAAGTTGCATGAAAGTTAGTCTTTGAGTTGTTGGTATATATAACTTTTCCCCTACCCAAGGCAATCCGTCTCTCATTGTGCACACATGTTTGTTTTTCTGGAACCAATCATCTGTTTCCAAACTTTTTCTGAATTCAATCCCAGTTTGGCTGTCCAGTTGTGGTTTTATTTTGGCTTGGGTTCTTGTGGTTACTGGCGCTGCCAGTTGTGATTCTGCCATTATTGGTCTAGAGTCTGTGGTTCGTGCGCTGTTATATTGGGGCATGCGAGATAGTGCATCTGCCAGGAAGTTCTTTCTTCCTGGTAAATGTTTGAGCTTAAATTGGAATTGGTGAAAATGCTGGGACCAGCGGGCTTGTTTGGGATTGAGTTTCCTGGAAGTTTTCAGGGCTTCTAAATTTTTGTGATCAGTCCATACCTGGAAGGGGATTTTGTTGCCTTCCAGGAACTGTCGCCACGTGAGTAATGCCCAACGTATCCCATAAGCCTCCTTCTCCCATACGGGCCAGCGCTGTTCTGTTTCCGTGAGTTTCTTAGATGTATATGCACAGGGTTGCAATACTGCATCATCATTTTCTTGTAATAGCACAGCCCCCACTGCCACATCACTTGCATCTGCCTGTATTATGAAGGGCTTGTCCATATCTGGGTGCCTTAGTACTGGTTCGGCAGAAAAAAGTCTCTTTAGTCTCTCAAACGCTGCTTGGCACTCCATTGTCCATGTTAGTGGCTGGCTAGGTTTTACTGAGGATGTTCCCTTCGTTTTTAGTAAGTTAGTGAGGGGCAAGGCTATCTGTGCAAATGAGGGGATGAATTGGCGGTAAAAATTTGCAAAGCCCAGGAAACTTTGTAGTTGCTTTCTTGTGCGGGGTGGTGCCCATTCTAATACTGCTCTGACCTTCTCTGGGTCCATTTCAATGCCCTGTGGGGATATGCGATAGCCTAGGTAGTCTATCCTTTCCTGGTGGAATTCGCATTTTGAGAGTTTGGCATATAGGTGAGCGGCTCGCAGCTTCTTTAAAACCGCTCTGACAAGTTTGACGTGTTCTTCTTTTGTTTCGGTAAAGATAAGAATGTCGTCCAAGTAAACAAGGACCCCCTTAAACAGGTGCTCCCTTAGAACGTCATTGATTAATTGCATAAAGACTGCAGGGCCCCCTTGTAATCCAAATGGCAAGACTTTGAATTGATAGCACCCCATGGGGCAGTTAAATGCAGTCTTCCATTCGTCCCCTTCCTTGATTCTCACGCGATAGTAAGCTTCCCTTAAGTCTAGTTTAGAAAAAATTTTCCCTTTCGATAGGTGTGACAGCATGTCTTTCATGAGGGGCAGCGGGTATAGGTTGCTTTCACTGATTGTGTTCAGGGCCCTATAATCCACGCATAAACGTAAAGAGCCATCCTTCTTCTCTCTAAAAAGGACCGGGGCAGCCACTTTAGGCTTAGCTGGTTCAATGAAACCTCTCTCCAGGTTTTTTTTTTATAAATCTTTCCATTTCCTCCTTCTCCTTTGGGCTCATGGAGTATAATCTGGGCTTCGGGAGTTTTGCCCCAGGCTTGAATTCAATGGTACAGTCTGTGGGTCGGTGGGGGGGAAGCTCATTCGCCCTCTCCTCACTGAAGACTTCAGCAAGGTCCCTATATTCCTCTGGTATTTCTGTTAATCTTTTTTCCTCTCCTATGGATGCTTTTTCTATTCTTGATTCTGGTAGCCTCTCTTGGGGTTTTAAGTCCATAGGGTCCCCCTTCGGGAATTTGATTTCTGTCGTCCTCCAATTTACCCAGGGGTTCCATTTTTTCAACCATTCCATCCCTAGAATCATTGGGCATTCCATACCTGGGGTCACCACAAACGTTAAGTCCTCTTCATGGTTGCCCAGGGAGAGGTGTATTGGCAGAGTGGCTAGGGTAGCTGGCACCCCCCCTGCTATGGATCCATCTAGCTGGCCAAATGAGATTGGTTGTTCCAGTCTCCTGGATGGGATGCCCAGATTCCCCACTAGTGTTGGGCTAATGAGGCAGCGGGTGCAGCCAGAGTCTATTAAGGCTTTCACCTTCACAGCTTCGGGCATGGGGGGGATTAATATAGTCACTGTTTTGAAGATGGGTGTGATGCGTCCACTTACCAGGGGTTCGCCTTCCGAGCTGTCATCTGAGGCATCCACCGTCCCTGTGGTGTAGGCTGGAGTTCTTTCCCCTTGGTGAGCAGAGGTGGGGTTTTCTGCAATTTCCATCATTTTCATGGCTGTTTCTTTTGGCTTAGCTGAATACCCTCTGGGTTTGTTGATTGGGGATCTGTCTGGGTTGTGCTGGGGGGCCTTTGAGCGGCATTCTACAGCTCGATGCCCTTCTCTTCCGCACTTGAAACACCCCATCTGCTTCTTGGCTGTATCCGATGATTTCACCGGTTGGTGTGTCAGCTCAGGCGGGGGGCGGCTCCATTGTTTTCCTCGGCGATGCCTCTTCAATATGTCGATCTCTGCTTCCTCTGCCAAGACGTACCATTCCTCAAGTCGATGTGGGTCTCCTCGGGGCAGGCAAGCATCATATAGATCATAGTTTAGTCCGTCTTTGAAACGGCCAAGGAGGATGTCTTCTGGCCAATTCAGTTTGCTGGCAATGGCTCGGAATTCTTGTGTATACTCAGCCACTGGGCGTTTGCCCTGCCTCATCGTTGTTATTCTTTCACGGGCTTTGCGATCAGCCAGGGGGTCTTCAAACCGTCTTCTCAACGAGGACATGAAACGGTTGAAGTTACTGAGTTCTGGGGCATTGGAGTCATGCAGGTTCACCACCCAATCTGCAGCTGGTCCATCCAGGGCAGATTGCACGATCCGGATGCGGGCTTTGTCGCTGGGGATGTCCTGCCCATATTCCTCCATGTAGCTGAGGACTTGGGTTAGGAAAAACCCCAAGCGTGTTGGCTCCCCTTTGAATTTCACCTCCAACGGTGGACGTCTTGGAATGGATCGGTGCCTCCATTGTGGGTGGTAGTGTCTTCCGTCCAGATTTCCATCTGTGGTCCGGTAGGGGGTGGGAGCTCCTGGATCAGTAAATGTCCCTGGGGTTGCAGGTTCCACGTCCCCCTCGGTGTCTCTCCCTTTGTGGCTCCAGGAACTGGGGCGGGCGTAGGGCTCAGGAATCTCCTCTCCTAGGGAGCTGAGAGTTCTCTTCATCAGGTCAATAGCTCTCTCTAGGATCCAGTCTGAGTACGGCATACAGCTTCCTCCCTCTTCACTTGCGTGCAGGGATTTCTCCATCTCCTGCTTCCATTCTGGTTGCTTGGTTCCCCGTCTCAGGGTCACTTTTCTTGATTCCTTTCCCCACTCGCTTTTCTTTCCAACGCCCATCGACCAGCGAGGCTTGTGGTCCTGTGTCTCCACCACTTCTTCTTCTGAGAAATCTGGCCTCTCGGATCCCAACATCTGGCAAGGTTCCAACTGGGTCAGCGGCTCTCTTTCCAGGGAGTTTTCTCCCTCTCTTGCTTCGTTGTCTGACATGGTAAATTTTTGCAAAATCCCCCGGCAAGGGTCTACCTTCCAGGTGGATTAATTTTGCAAGTCCTGTCTAATGTAAGGACCCACCCCACTTTGCATCTTAAGAAGACAGAACTCTTGGAATAGCTCTTCCAACAGGAATCCTTTATTAAGAGAAAATGGTTGCAGGCATGCTAGACAGGACTTGGGGTTCAAGCTCTCCCATTCAAGGTTTTAAGGGGTTCCCCAGTAGTCCCACCCAATCAACCCCCCTTCCAGTGATAGTTTCAAGTATCACAATTCCATCCCCTTTCTTCTTCCGTCTGGATGGAGACTTCAGATAACTACATGAAAGGCAATTACTCTTCTTTGATATGTTAAAGCTTAGAGGCCACAATAAACACACATTCAGTCCTTTGAAGTGTGCTGAAGGAAGTGAGGGCCATAAAGCCCCTTTGCTCTCCCCCTTTTCTCCCTCTTATGGCAGAATCCAGAGAAGGCAGAATTGGGAGTTTCTATGTTTGATAATTAAAGATGAAATATAATTGGATTCTGACATAGTCCTCTTCTCATATTTTATTTTTACATGCCTTAAAAAAACTGTACATCTGAATTTCTCTGGGCAGATTATAAAAGTTAAACAAAACAATACAAAATGCAGCATTATTGAGAGATAACAAATCAATTCATACTGAGAAAATAAACTCTGCAGCAATAAATTTAGAACTAAAGGGAGAACTAGGACTGTAAAAAAAAAATCCCAACATATTTAAAAAGACTAAAAAACTAACTCATTTGCCAGGTGGGAAAACTATATTTACACAGGCAAAGGGTTAGGGGTAAGAGTATTTGTATACTTTCTAAGGAAAGAATACCATGAGAGAGAACCAGCAGAGAGAAGATTCTTCAGTCACATTTCTTCCTAACTCAGCCAGTAATATCTTTACATAAGTAACACTTTCACTCTATGCCCGCTTCCACCTGACCGAATCATACTTACCTCTCCTATTTCATTCTAACATAACTAGACAGCATATCCCATATCTGTCTACTCAGAACAAAAACCCCTTCAATTCAATGGAGTTTACTCTCCGCTCCATGTTAGAATAATCTCTAAGCAAATCTTGGGAGAACAGATGGGACATTCTGAATGATTTGGTAATTAAAAGTAAGTCACACAATTGTAATACCTCTCAGACAGAAGAGGATCTCTAGCTTTCTTAGGCAATGTACATGTATTCAAGGCGTCTTCTCCTTCCAGGTCAGTATTTTCTTTCTAAAAAGAAGGCACATGAGCTAATAATGAACACCACAATGAAATCTAGACATACAACTAGAAACATGATTTGATTTTCTAAACAAAATATTAACATTTCAAATTAAATGTTAACACTTTAAAGAATAGTAGCTATCAACACCAAGACCAAACGTGTAGAACCAAAACTTAGCATCCATCATTTAGCACTGTAGCGAACTGTAATCCGTAAATTACGGTTCAAAATTTGGTTTCTAGTTGGATTCAGGCAAACTATTCCCTTCCATAAACTTTGGGGATAACAGCTCAAAAGGCATTACAATTATAATAAAGTACTAAGATCTTGTATATTTGGTTGCACAAATACATGTATGAGAGAAATGTGTAGTATCGTGATTACACTGTCAGACTATGGCTGTGGAGATCACAGATTAATACCCACTGAGCCATACTCCTCACTGAAGGATGCTGGACAATTTTGGGTTCTTCTTCCAGGCCCCTTTTGCATATTTTATTTTTGTGCCTCCCAGTCAATGTTGATTCCTGATGACGGTCTGGACTAGAAACTTAAAATCAAGTTACTTTCCAACACATCTCAGAGTGAACTTAACCATTGCCATGGGGTTAAATATCATTAGTCAGTATGCTAATGGTAGGTATGTTTCCATCTCTATTCTAAGCTGACCAAACAGTGCCTTCAGATTCTCTGTGTCTGGCGGCCTTAGGGGTTTAAATGGGGAGGAAAAGCTTTGGCTTAACCCAAACAAAACTGAGTAGCTGTGGGCTTGTTCATTTTCTCTCCCCACACCTCACTTTGGATGGGATAGCACTCCCTAGGCAGAATTGCTATGCAATCTGGGAATCCTCTTGGACCCATGGTATCTCCCCAACAGACTAGTCTTACACACTGTATATGGGTCTAACATTGGCAATCCAGATGTACCATGATCATGATTACTACATAACCACTACATAAGCACTCGTTTATCAGCTTCTGGATGCAATTAAAAATACTGGCTTTTGTTGATAAAGCCGTAAATGTACTGGCTCAGTTTATGGCTCAGTGTTGGGTTATTTGAGGAACCACCTATTATGGATAGCTGCCCATTCCACAAAATCCAACAGAAAGAGAGTGCTTTGAGTCCCTTCAAAAAAGAAACAACACTACTTAAAGGATATATGAGGCACACATTCCTATGCTTTGGAATAGCAGGTCCCCTGAGATCTGGAAAGTGCTGAATTTCTGTAAGACTTAAAAACTTGACACACATGTACACCCCAATTAAAATGTTGGATGAGCTTGTTGAAAAAACGGTTTAGGATATTGAGATGTTATGTTTTTGTGCCATCAGATCAACTCCGATTTTTACAACTCAGCAGCCCTCTGCTTCACTGAAATCTGGCTTAATGAGCCAATTGATGAGAGAGGCTTGCATAACCCAGGGTTTCAGATACAGAGGGCAGAGAGAATTGCAGAAACATCCGATAAAAAGAAGGGAGGGGGCGGTCTCTGCTTTTATATCAACCGATGGTGCAAAAATGTAGCTAAAGAAATTCTGTGATGTGGACTTAGAGACATTAATGATCAATTGCAAACCATTTTATTATCCTTGAGAGTTTTCCTCATTTCTACAAATTGCTGTGTACATTTTGCCACAAGCTTACGTAAACAATGCATTATGAACTCTAGCTGACTGATTATGTGGGTTGAAGAAAAACATCCTGATTCACTCCTCATTGTGCTAGGTGATATCAATAGTGTTGACTTAAGTCAAGAGCTACCAAAATACTTTCAGCGCTTCAACTGTCTCACTAGAGGCAAGAATACATTAGACCACTGCTACACAACACTAAAAGATGCTTATTGGTTTTAACCACGAGCAGCTGTGGGATACTCTGATCACTGTATGATTCACCGTGTACATGTTTATAGACAAAGGCTTAAAACACCAAAACTAACAATTAAATCAGTGAAGTCTTGGACTGAGGAGGCAAAGCTAAAGCTACAGGCTTGCTTTGACTGCACTGATTGGAAAGTTTTCAAAGATATCTCTGCAGACTTGGATGAACTCACAGACACTGTAACATCATATGTTAGTTTTTGTGAAAACCTATGTGTGCCAACCAGGAACTTGCCAATATACAGTAACAATAAGCCTTGGTTCACAGCTAAACTCAAGGAACTACTGGTATGTTGTGCCAAAGAGGAAGCCTACAGGAAAAAAGATAGAATGCTGTACAATCAGGCCAGAAATGTACTAACAAGGGAGATCAGAGCAAAAAGAAGCTACTCTGAAAAACTAGGGAGTCAGTTCTCAACAAATGAACCAGCAAATATGTGGAAAACTCTTAAAAATATCACTGGCTAGAGCAGGGGTAGGCAACCTTGGCTCTTTTATGACTCATTGACTTCAACTCCCAGAATTCCTGAGCCATGCTGGGCTAGAGCAAACTTCCTCTCCATGCTGAAGGAAATCGACAACCGGCAGATGTCCTGAATGTGTTTTACTGTAGGTTTGAGAGGAAACCATTGTCACCTATCTCCACCATCCCCATCTCAGATACACCAACAACAGCCATACCTCCTATAACTGACCTCCTCCCCTTGGGTCCCCCATCTCTGGTAATCAAAGAAAATGATGTGCAAGGTCTATTTCACAGACAAAAGCACCAGACCCAGACAAGATAACGCCTTCTTGCTTGAAAGCTTGTGCTGACCAATTGGCCCCCATCTTCACCCACATCTTTAAGAAATCACTAGAGATGTGCTATGTTCCTTATTGCTTCAAATGCTCTATCATCCCAGTGCCAAAGAAACCCTCCATCAAAGAACTGAATGACTACAGATTGGTTGCTCTGACATCCATAGTTTGAAAGGCTAGTGCTGTTCCACCTGAAAACCATCACGGATCCGCTATTAGACCCCTTGAAAATTACCTACCGAGCAAATAGATCAGCAGATGATGCTGTTAATATGACTCTCCACTACATCCTACAACATCTTGAATCTCCAAAGACCTATGCAAGAGTCCTTTTTGCAGATTTCAGCTTGGCATTTAATACTATCATTCTAGATATTCTTCTCACTAAACTAAATCAGCCAGCCATACCTGAGCACATCTGTAAGTGGATCATAAGCTTTCTAATAGACAGGAAGCAGCAAGTGAAGCTAGGCAAAATCACATCAGATACCTGTACAATTAGCACAGGGGCCCCCCCAGAGCTGTTTGCTCTCTCCACTTCTCTTCTCTCTATATACCAATGACCGCATCTCAAAAGATCCCTCGGTTGGAAGAAGTAATAAGAAAAATCCTGGACTGTGCTGAGATGGACAAATTAACAAAAGAGATAAAAGAAAAGGAAGACACAGAGTATTATATAACATGGAACAAGCTGAATGTCTGGTTGGAGACTAGAAATAATAGAGGAGAATAAATATGGAAAGGTCAAAAGTGAAAATATGTGTATAATAATGTATAAGAATAAGAATTATTCTTAGTAAGAAGTAGAACATGAAGGAAGAAAAATGTAAATAAGAAATAACGGGGCTATAAGGACAAATATTCTAAAGAAGAATAAGGGGGGAAATGTAAATAATAGATTACCATTACGCAATTGCTGTAAAAAAAATGAGGAGTATATATTGTGTGTGTATGTGTGTTATGTTTTGCTTTGTTTTGTTTTGTCTTGTTGGTTAAAAAAAAAAAGATCCCTCTGTTAAAGTACTGAACTTTGCAGATGATACAACAGTGATTGGCCTCATTCGAGACAACAACGAATTGGCATACAGACAGGAGGCTGAACTAGCCTTGTGGTGCGACCAGAACAATCTTGAACTGAACACACTCAAAACTGTAGAAATGATAGTAGACTTTAGGAGAAACCCTACTATTCTACAACCTCTTACAATACTAGACAACAAAGTATCAGCAGTAGAGACCTTCAGGTTTCTAGGTTCTATAATATCTCAAGATTTAAAATGGATACCTAACATCAAAAATGTCATCAAAAATGCACAACAAAGAATGTTTTTCCTGCACCAACTGAGGAAGCTTAGACTGCCTAAGGAGCTGCTGACACAGTTCTACAAAGGAATTGTTGAGTCTGTCATTTATACCTCTATAACTGTCTGGTTTAAAACTGCAACCAAACAAGACAGACACAGACTTCAACGGATAGTTAGAACTGGAGAAAAAACCATTGCTACCAGCCTGCCTTCCATTGAGGACCTATATACTGCACGAGCAAGAAAGAGGGCTGTGAAAATATCTACAGACCCCTCACATCCTGGACATAAACTACTTCAACTTCTTCCCTCAAGATGACGCTATGGGGCATTGCACACCAGAACAACTAGACATAGGGACAGTTTTTTTCCCCACGCCGCCACTCTGCTTAACAACTAATTCCTACAAAACTATCAAAATAGTTAGTAAAGCTGTATCACTATGATACTCCTCATCTTTCCTATTACCTATCCTTATGACTATAACTTTGCTGCTTGTATCTTACAATTTATATTGGTTTTTTTTAGTATCCTAGTATGATTTATGTTGTTTGCTTAGCTAGTACTCTATGACTATCATTAAGTGTTGCATCTTATAATTTATGATGAAGTGTTGTATTTCACGATTTATGATTAATGTATTTTCATGTTGTATATGATCATGATTATCACTATTACTCGTATGTACACTGAGAATGTATGCACCGGAGACAAATTCCTTGGGTGTCCAATCACACTTGGCCAATAAAGAATTCTATTCTATTTTATATTGCATGCTGTGGCCCTCCTATTGTTGTTCATTTGTCTGTATTTTACACCTATGTTAGCCAACCAGTTGAATTTGTGAGTTAGGCAGCCATATAAAAAATACATATAAATATTTTTGTTACATTAATAAGTGAATAAACAAGTTAATAAAACAGATATATTACCTCATTTAGCCCCAGCACACGATCACCAGAAAGGTCCAGGTCACTGATGGTAGTAACAGTGACAGTATGATTTGGGTGATCATAGCTCACCGATTCTGTTCGAGATGTCACTAGATGTTCCAATTCATCAGCTTCCTCTGAGAAGATGAAATAACAGCCATAATTTCTTGTGCAAAGGGAGTTTCTTCAACCAATCTGTTGAAGAATGGTATCTATGTTCTAAATCCTCGGAGCAGGGGGAGGGGGGAAAGAAGGGATGGTTTTGTGGAAGGGGCAGGCGAGTGCGCAAGTATAGTCATGTATGAGCAATTGTTGCTCACGTGAGTGTGGCCAAGAGCACACATTATGCTTGCATAAGTGAGGCCCCGAATGCTCGCGATGCTTGTGTGAGTGGGACTGTGTGCACGCATGCACGCGCATCAGCCAGCCACTCACATCCTAGTTGCGAATAGGCCATGGCCCACAGTTTGGGGACCCCTGTTCTAAATGGAAACCTTATGGAAGGAATTCTTTAAGCTTAAACCTTTCAGCCCTGCTACCATTACATTCTATTGTTTCTTTACATATGTGGGTTGAACAACAATTGATGTCTTCATCTCCATAACTTTAAACAGGAATATTTTAAGAAATGAAACATGAAAATAATCCTTGAAGTAGGTTCTTTTGTTATCTGTATTTGCCACATTATTATCACTATTTACTACACAATTCCACCAATAATGGTCAAGCTTCAAGTATCAAAAAAGAACTCCATACGTATCTTTAACCAGGTCTTGACAACCTTCTCTATCTTTTCATTTGAGTCAGATACCACGAAAATATATTTCATTTTATATATATATTTTCTATGAATTTGATTATAATACTAATCTATTTAAAGAAAGAGTAAATAGTGTAAGGAAAAAGAAAAAAAGATAGGAATATAGTAAAATGTCTTCCAATCTTCATCACTACAAGTTTAAACAAATTTAGTGACTTTTTACCCCTATAAGTTTAGAATTATTTCTTCATCCCATTGCGTCTCTAGACAAATTCATAAAACACCACCTCAGATCAGCAGAAAGTCCGTACGGTAATCATTCTTCTAAAGACTGAAAGCTTATACAGTGCAACAACAACAAAAAATCAACATTAAACCTCCCTCCAACTGTTTGTGATTAACAGCAGTGGCCTAAACATAGTCACACTGAGTAGTGTAAAAATAACACTTAGTAAAAGTGTGCTAAAGATTATAGAGTAGAAAAACTAATTCATTAAAGAGATCAAATGTTTCAAAACTCATAATGAAGATATGGTTTGAATCATGATTCATATTTATTTACTCTCATTTTAGACAGGTTGTATGAAACAGTCTTTTGTTCTCTAAGTTGTCATCTTATTCATTATGGGATTCCAGGCTAGGCTACATCTTCAAATAGGATACTTACCTAAGGCTTCTTCTCTCTCCTTCAACATCTTCATGTATTCTTTATGTCTCTACAAGAGAAGCAAACAAATAGATATTCCAAGAGTTTTCAGACATCTCCTAAACTGCCTCATTCAAGTTGCTAGTTAAAATCCTGCCAACAAGAAGTTATGTATACTGTAGTAGTATAGTATTTGGTAGAATTGTGGTCTATGTGGTAATATAATATTGCACTATCAAAGCCTACAAGATCTGGAATCTCCCTTAAAATAAACTAGTTTAAACCATGGTGCCCCAAACAAAGCTCTTTTCCCCCCACAAAATCTTTGACTCAAAATATAAGCCATAATCTGAGGTACTCTATTTTATTTCCAAGCACATATAATAACAATAATGTTGGAAGGGACCTTGGATGTCATCTAGTCCTACCCCCTGCTCAGGCAGGAAACCCTATACCATTTCAGACAAATGGCTGTCCAGTCTCTTCTTAAAAACCTCCAGTGTTGGAGCATTCACAGCTTCTGGAGACAGGTTGTTCCACTAGTTAATTGTTCTAACTGTCAGGAAATTTCTCCTTAGTTCTAGGCTGCTTCTCTCTTTGGTTAGTTTCCACCCGTTGCTTCTTGTCCTACCTTCAGGTGCTTTGGAGAATACCTTGACTCCCTCTTCTTTGTGGCAACCCCTGAGATACTGGAACACTGCTATCATGTCACCCCTCGTCCTTCTCTTCATTAAACTAAACATACCCAATTCCAGCAACCGTTCCTTATATGTTTTAGCCTCCTGTCCCCTAATCATATGCCTCTGTTGTTTAATCAGAAGTAAGGTCAGTTTAATTTGGTAATAAATTGGTATAACATATTTAGAATGGAGTCAAAATGGCGAGGGTAAGCTTGCTAAAATAGCAAGCAAATAGTTTACTTACATTCTTACAGTATCAATAATAAAAAGGCAAAATGAAGGCAGCTGTCCAAAATGTTTGAAAACAAATCACCCATTTTGGAAGGACACAATTCTGCAGCTGTTGCAGCCTTCCATTTTCCAGACAGATCTTAGATGAAATCATACCTCTTCTTTCATCTTCTTTTCTTCTTCCTTCAATTTGCGCTTTATTTCCTCCACAGCTGCTTTCCTCCTTTCAACCTTACGTTTGTGAAACCCTGTCAAGAACTCCCTGGAAAGAATGAGCACAGTATAGTAGGCAGCAATAACTTGCAATCATTATTCTACAAATAAAGTTATCCTGCATGATCAGTAGGCAAATACATACAAAAGTTTTACCTTTAGGTAAAAGCATATAATGCTTTTGTCCATATTAAACATTCCCATGTAGACATCCCATGATGTGGTCATAATGTGGGCTAACTCAGAAGTATGGGCTGGTTCCTGCAATACATTTCTTAAGAGTCTAAATCATTTGTACAGGAGGAAAAATGGCAGAGCAGACTGGATAACCATAAAGTATGGAAGCTATGATTCTTTTTTAAAGCCTCTCAAAGAGTAATACAGATAGTCCTTAACAATTGTAATTAGGACCAGTAGCTCCTTTGCTAAAAGATATGGTTGTTAAGTGAAATATCACATGACTATGCCAGACTTATGTCAGTTCCACTGCAAACATTAAATGACTCATCCACAGTTAAGTGTAACATCACATGGCTGACTTCCTGCTGGCTTCTCCATCGATTCGGCTTGTTGGAAACCAGATGTGAAGCTCACAAATAATGATCACATGACTGTGGGATGCTGTGACAGTTCCATGTGTGAGGACCAGTCATAAAACTACTTTTTTCAGCACTGATATAACTGAGCAATCATTAGATCAGGCAGTTGTTAACTGAGAATTATTTATAATTCTGAATGTCCAGGTACCCTTGTGTGATTCTGTTCCACTAAGTGAGCTAGCTTTCTTGCCAATGTAATTGTTGCCCATTACTTGCCATTTTATTTTAGATTTAACTTATCTACACGCTTAGATGGAGCACAAAAAGCAAAGTTTCTTGCTCCAATTTCACTTTTCTATTTGCCTCTTAAGTTGAAAAAAAATTATGTGTTCTACTTGGCAGCACAGAGAAAACATTTAACTCAGCTGCAGTCTAAAGCATGAATATCTGTAACTCAGATACAGCCTGTTGAAAGAAAAATCTTCATCAGGGTCCAGTCCAAGCCACGAATAAACAAAATGGAGACTGCTTTAGAAAGGAGGTTGTTGTTTATTGAAGAGCAGAGCCAGACAGAAAATGTGGCTCTGAGAAAGCTGACCACATGTAGTGGGGAGTGGTAAGTTTTTATACCTTCTTGGGTTTTTGTGTTTGGAGTTGTTCCTGTGGCATGAACTTTGATCTGAGGTTCAGTGTGCCCTTCTGGTATTCTGTAGGTGATGGGTTAATCCTATTATGTCCTAAAGGTCATATCCTGCTTCCCTGGGGCTGTGGCTGATGGCTTACTTCCTGTGTTGGATTTTTTTGGGTTGAGGGGTTGGTTGGGTTGATTCTAGGGATCTTTTGTCTTTCTAATCCCATCAGCTCTAAGCTTCCTGGCTCGTCTTTCTGAAGGCATTATCAGATCTACATTTCTACAGACCTGGTTTCTTCCTGGGGCAGAGAGACTTGGGGGGGGGGGTTCTGCCTAAGATTTTCTATTATTCGTTTGGGAAAATATATTCTGCTTTTTAAATATTCCCCAAAATATTTCCTTCTCTAGGAGGGTGGGTAGGTGCTTCCTAAGCAAGAAGGATGAGAAGGCAAAAGCCAAGTAAACAAGTAACTGTGAATGTCAACTTCAAGAACGAAAATTGGATTTCACTCTTTGAAGAGTTGGTTTAACTATTTTGTGTATTGTTTCTAAAACATGACATCCTTGGCTGATGAAGAAGAGGACAACTCCCATCATCCTCAGCCAGCATCAACCAGCCATTGATTAGGTTCTGTGAACCAAAATTGGAAAGTACGAAGTTGGGGAAAATCTAGGAATTCTGGGAGTTGAAGTCCACTCATCTTAAAGTGACCAAGTTTGAAAAACATTATACTAAAGCAACACGTGTCTGAATCTTGCACCAAGCATCCTGTTCAGCGTTAACTCTTCTCTCACTATTGAAAGAGTCTCCCGGTAACTCCCCCCTCCCCACGCAGGGGGGGGCTTCCGCGGGAGGCATCTGCACATCGAAAGCCTACACATCGCCCAGCGAGGAGCTGGGCAGCGGTAGATCTATTCGCCCAGCTTCTTCCTCCTCTCCCGCACTCACCGTCGATTCTTCTCGTCAAAACACACGACTCTCCGGAGCATCGCATTTCCATCGCGCCGCTCCTTCTTCTTGCGGCCCATGCCGGCGATGACTTCTTCCGATTCCGCCGGCCGAAGTGCAAACTAGTGCACCACCTCTTCCGTTCCGCCGCCGCCGCCTCCTCGATGAGTTTTCGTGGAAAGCTCCGCCTCTGCTGTTGGATTTAATCATTCCTTGTCATGCTTGTTATATGTTACCAACTCTTTTTTTTTAAGTCATGCGATCGCTACACAACTTTTGCCTAGGGCAGGGATAGGCAACCTCGGCTCTTTTATGACTCATGGACTTCAACTCCCAGAATTCCTGAGTCAGCATAGTTGACTCAGGAATTCTGGGAGTTGAAGTCCATGAGTCATAAAAGAGCCGAAGTTGCCTACCCCTGGCCTAGGGACTGCGTTGCAGTATCCACAGTTGAAATATTTTGGGGGCCAAGAACCTAAATGCGGCTTCCTCCCGGAGACAATCTGTTTTCCCAATGCTTCAGCACGCTTCTGGTTAGCCAAAAATGAGCAATCTTATCATGTGGATAGCAAAGACTGTGTAAATTATATGCTAAATCATGCTATGATTATGGTTTAGTTTTATATGAGCCCAGCTAGTGTGGTTTGCAACCTGTGATTTAAACGTGTGCTTCCATTTTTTTTTTAGTCAACCGTGATGAAGCAAATTGGGTTAGGATGTGTTAAAAAAAAGCATCTATATCTCAGTCTCTGTCATCTGAAGTAAGTGTCAGTTTCTGTGGAACATACGGCTAGCTTGCATTTTTAAATGGTTTCCTGGATCTTTTTCACTTATACCTTCTGCAGTATTTGCATGTGAAAAATTTTCTCTCTAAAAGTTCACTCACCATTCAAGCCACAATACTGGTCTTGTACTTTTGTTAACAGAAAAGAATAAGAGTGACTACATAAATAAACAGTAAGCAAACTCCCAGGGGGAAGGAAGCAGGTAGATTGGGATCTAGCAATAGCACTTAGAGTCTTAGACTTTACAGCACTCTCTAAGCAGTTTACAAAATCAGCATGTTGCCTCAACAATTTGGGTCCTCATTTCACTGACCTCCTGAGGTTGGAAGACTGAGTCAACCTTTAGCCAATAGGGATCGAAGGAATCGAACTGCAATACTGCATTCTAAATACTGCACCACCACAGCTCATCTATTAGCATTTCACTGCATGTTATACAGTTGATCTGCAAGAGCTTCCAGCTGACCATTGCTGAACTGCCCCTGAATAACACCTGGAAGCTATGGCTAGATCAAAATACAGCAGCAATGGTTCCTGCGGCATCCCTATGTATCACCTCTGCTTCTCAAACTGCATTGGTTGCCAGTTGGGTTCCAAATACAATTCAGTGTTCTGGTTATTACCTATAAAGCCATCGTGTATGGTATAAAGGCCTGGAGATCTGAGGGACCACATCCCCAATTGTTTCTGCCAATCTGGTTTCTTCTGGCAGAGTAGGTGTGCTCCAAATCTCCTTTATTAAATGTCATCCTGTGGGACTGAAAGCATGCCTCCCCTGTAACAACCCATACACACTGGTACAGCTTTCCCGCAAAGGTTAAGATGGCACCTCACTCTAGAATTCAAGAAGGCCTTGAAAACCTGGTTTTGATCACAGGTCTGAGCTTAATGTAGTATTGTTGGGGGGGAGGTTTCTTTTTAATTTGTGTCATTTTAAAATCATTTTAGTACAAACTATTATTTTATGTATCTGTTTTCATAGACTTTGCCTTGGTTTGTACACTGCCCAGATTCTATTAGAACTATAATACATTTAAATGAACAGAAAAAGCTATAAAAAGGATCATTTTCTAAATTAAGCTATCAGACATTATTGATCATTGCAATGTACAACCTTGGGATGTAATGTACAGTCAGTTTTTCCTTCTGAACCACAATTTGTTCCCAGCTAGATCCAACGTTTGATCTGCATTTGAAGCAAATTAGTTATGGTTGTTTGGCTTTTGGTAAAAAAAAAATAAAACCCTAATCCTTGATGCTTGTCCAACTGTGGTAGAAAATTACAGATTTAGTGCCTCAGTCTCTTACTTTGATGGTCACAAACAGATGGACATTGCTTGAAAATGTCAACTTATCCTCATGCTGAATACCCTGGAGCTACGACCTAGTCCTGATAGTCTCCACTGGATAGACTCAAATTATTGAATTGGTCATTTTGCCTTTTCTTTCAAGTCTTCAATAAAGGCTACCAATTTTGGACTGCAAAAATCCAGACTATCTCTAAATAACAGCATAATTAGAATTTTATGTTTGATTGCTACCACTTTTAGTGCTCATCAGGATTTTTGTAGGCCAGGTTGAGCAATTTTATGGAGACTTTATTTCATGGAAGCAGAAGGCAAAGTGGAATTGGAGGATCTTTTAGGAGATCTATTTGTCATGTGTTTAAAAATTCAAGTCAACTTGAACGTGTTTGATTCATCTTCAAGTTCACTTTCCCCCCTTTTTAAATCACCAAATATGATTCATGCTAATAGGTGACTGATTACAAGTACTCTGAACTTATCAAAGGGGTGGGAAAGTCATACAGTATTGTTGATCACAGAGCAGTCTGCAAAATGCTTAAACTTAGGAGCTTGTCCTTTAGCCCTTTCTGAGATGGAAAATCCGGTTCTGTGGTTAATAGCTGTACTTCCCTTTAAGTCTACACCCACAGCTTTGGTCTCCTGCACTACAGCACTCTCTTGTCACTTGAATCTACCTAACACCCTTCAGCCTGAACTTGGTTTGGATTACAAAAGCAGTCTATCATTCAAGTTGCCTTGCAGGGGCACTGACTGTTGTTTTCCTGTTGCTCTTTCTCTCCCCTTGCAAAAAAAGAAAAGGAAGAGAAACATACCTCTCTACATCAGTCTCCTATGCACGTGGAGGAGGAAAAAAAAAGCCCTGCTCTTCCTGGAGGGTTAAAAAACAACTGAGAAAAATGGCTGCAGAAGATGAGAGGAATAGAAACCTCCTTCAGGAAGTTTGGAAGAGAAAAGAAAATGCCATATGTGCAGATTGCGGGCGGCCTGGTAAATAAAGGGGGAAATGGTGGTGGTAATAGGAAGTAATAACTAGCAAAGATAGCTCCTGAAAAAAACAATTGCAGTAATTTAAAAGAAATTCAGATGGAGGAATTATACCTGGCACTTAGGACAAGGAAGATATTGTTAATATTATCATATGATTTCTTAAATATGGAATGCTGTGTATGCTATATATTGTACATTAAATATTTTGTTCTGCTAAGGATTAAGGCTTCTGTAACTCTGTGCAGATAATAGCTATCTAACACAGGAATGTGCTTACTGTTGTCTCTCTGACTTTCCATTCAGTGATGAGAATGTATAGCAGTCCAGATGTTGCTGAACAACAATTCCAAATGGCCATCATGATTGGCCATGCTTCCTCTGGGTGGTGGGATTCGAAGTTCAGAATCTAGCAGTAGTTAGGAAGGGAGATTGCTTCCACTGCCGAAGAATAAGAGTGAATTCCTTGGAAGATAGAAATGAAGAATTATAGTACTACTATACAGAGATTGTTGAAGGACCAAGAAAGCATGAACTCACTGGACTTTATTTAAGAGAAGGACTACCATCCAGACAGAGGCAAATATTTGAAGGTATCCAGTCTTTTGAGGTATTGGAGAAAAAGATAGATTTTTTTTCAAATAGAAGAAATGGATGTAATTAAAAAAAATACTTAAGCATTGATGAGGGGACTGTATCCTGAAGATGGCATGAACATTTGAGGTTTAACAAACCACTTGGGCTGCAGGGTTCTAAGAGATACTTATATGGGCAGGCCTTTGAGGTGGAATTGATGCAGGCCACTGAGAGGCACACATAATAAAACAATAGGATGTTATTTAATAAATCAACTGCATAAGGTATTCTTTGACCTTTGATATTATAAACTGAAACAGCAGGGCACAGTTGTTTAATCCTGTTTGCATTGTTTACAGCCTGGGTAATCTGGATCAGAAAGAACAGAAATTTAACAGATCATGCCTTTGATAGGACATGGAGTTAAAGCCTTTCCCAATACTCTGATATTGCCATATTTTTGCCAGGCCCTTACTGGAGTTCCCCCAAAGTGTAGGAGGCTGAGCTGGGATTTTGATTTATTTAAAAGTATTTGCAGAGACTGGCCTCCTAAGAAAAAAATGGTTCAGGGGATTTATATTTTTATTTTGGATAGCATCAATCTCGTCCTTAAAACTACCCTAAAATAGAACAAAAAAGGAGGTTAAAAAATTCTGCCCTGCTGATTCTATAACATCACAGTATTGTGTGGCCTATACACATCCAAGCAGGACTCTGAGAAAGCCCCCAAAGAGGGTCCATTTTCAGTTCTTGACTGATAAATAACTTTGAGATATTAGGTTGAAGAAAGGTGTTGCCAGTAACAATGACATGTGAACAACAAGCAGCAGTGATAATTAACTGATGACTATTGGAACCTTAAGGAACTTAGGCTCCCTACGATTTATTGTACTCAACCTCATAACAGTCAGTCCATAGCCATTGATGCTCTTTGATTCTGTTCAGATCCTTGCTGGGTCTCCTGTACTTTGGGTATTTTCATCTGCTATGAGTGCTCAGAAATACACCACAAGATCCCTAATATAAGTGAAGTTAAGTCAATAAAGAATTGCTGGGAGGAAAGTCAGATACAGGTGAGTACTATCCTGAGAAGTTTCTTTCCCTGTTATTTGTTTTGGTCATGTAAACCATCTTTTCTCTCAAAAGCATTCAAGGAGGCAGATGTCAAGAGAGGGGAAATTACTATTTTTTCTTAAATTGCAGCAGCAGGGAAGGAATTATATGCCCAATTTTGGACAAAGAACAAACGGTATAAATTCCCAGTTCAGTTTTAATTGCAGCAGGTGAATTCTATTTATCCACAACTAAGATACTTCTCAGACATGAGTGTTTGCTAGGAGAATACTATTCCTACAAGGTTATTGCTTTGCTAGCTTTCCAGCATGCCTGCTTCAGATTTTGGTTTCCTGTAGTTAAGGGAAAGAGTCAGTAATCTGGACAGGTCAGGGCCATTTTCAGAAAATTAACTAACTTGAAAGACTGCTGAGGGCCACATGAAATTCTGCTGTTGCAGACACTCATGTTTTTGAGACGCTTACTAAGCAAAAGGGTGCAGTGGTATAAGAATTCAGAAAAGTGTCCA